CCCCGGGCGCGGGCGCCGCCGCGCCCACGCCCACGCCCGCCGCGGCGCCCGCGGCCGCGCTGGCGGGCCTCGGCGGCCTGCTGGGTGGCGGCGCGTTTGGCGCACTGCCTGGGAAGGACGCTGTGATGCGCGTGATCGCGTCCTCGGCGATAGAGGCGGGCATGAGCCCCGACCAAGCTGTGATGGCCGGCATGTGCAGGCCGGAAGACAGGGAGTCGCTCGCCGCCGCGTTTGCGGCGGAGGCGGCCCGCGCGGCGGCCGCCGCGGCCGGCGGGGCGGCGCCGCCGCCAATGTCGGCCGACTCGGCGCTGGACGGCTTTGCTGCGCCGGGCGCGGCCGGCAAGGCGCACGCCCTGATGTCAGGCCTGAACGAGCTGCGCGCGCACCACGCGTCGCCGCCGCCGTTGGCAAATGGCGGCGGCAGCGGGATGTTCAATGCGTTTGGTTTTTCGCTGTTTGGGGGGCCGTCCGACAGTCTGGGCGGCTTCGATGCGCTCGCGGCCGCCGCCCCCAAGGCCGTGTCCGACGACGGCGTCCCCCGCGGCGGCACCGACCAGGGCACCGCCTCGCTGGCCGGCCTGATGCCGGTGGCCGCGTCGACGCTCAAGCTGCCGGCCCCGGTCGGCGACGGGGCGGTGCTGGGCGGCGGCGGCGCCGGCGGCGACGGCGCTCTCGCGGCGATGGTCGCGGGGCTGAACCTCCAGATCAGGGATCTCGCGGCCGCCAACACAGCGGGCGCGGCCGCGTCGCCGCAAACGCCGGAAAGGAACGACTGAAGATTGTCCGGGCGGCACTGCTGTAAACTTTGAGAGGCGCGCGGGCGCGGCCCGCGGGGGAATGCCGCTCGCGGCCCGGCGCCCGAAACATGTTGCGCCGCCGCGTTGCGCCCCCCTCTCGACGGTCCTGCGGCCCACGCGGCGGCTTCCGCACCCGCTCCTTGCGTGCGGGGCGGCGCCCGGGCGGCGGGACCAGCACCCCCGCTTGTGCACTTGCCACTGCTTTCGAATTTTTTAATTAAGTTGCACCGATGCGTGGGCCGGCGGCGCGTGGTGCGGCGCGGGAGTGCGCCGCGCGTGCGCCCGCGCTGCAGGGGCACCTCAACGCTTCCCTGCACGTCGCATTCGTCTTACACACATACACACATTAACGCACCATAGCCGCATGGGAGGACTATCGGGGCGTTGCTGTCGGTACACACCCGCATTGCACTTATCGGCCGTGCTGGGCTGAGCCTATTGACATGCTGTGTCTATGCTGTGCGAATGCAACAAAACACGAGCTGACCCCCCCTCCACACCAAATTCGTTGTTGTCGTGGCTTGTGCGCGTGCGGGTTGGCCGCGCCCACGCACGCCTCGTCTTTGGCCCGGCTCACCGCCGCGGCTGGCCGCCTCCCTCAACCAATTCCCGGAATGGGTTCCTTCCTAACGGGCCGCCATAAGGGGCGCGCACCTCCGCACGCCGTGCGAAGCGCGCCCGGCCGCCCCTCCTGCTTTTGGCTCGCCCGCAACGCTCCGATCCGGGCAGTGGGCGCGGGCGTCCCTTTTGTCGCGCCGCACGCCTCGGCTGGTCCTGTCTTGTCTTGTCATGTGTTGTGACGCTGCCGTTTCCTGCCCCAATTGCCCGCCGGTCCTGCGCTTTGGAGGCGAGCGAGCACGGCGCCCGCGCGTGGGCGCGGCCGGCCGCCTCCTCATGCGCCAGTCAAGTCGCGTGGCGCGGCCCGCCGCGTGCGGCCGCGCCAGCACTACGCACGCCGAAAAGATGCCACCACCAAATGGAAACCACGCGCACAGCCTTGGGTTTTTGGGTTCTTATGGGCGTCCTCCCGGGAAGCACTTGGCGTGGGATGAGCCACCACTTGCGCCGCGGCGGGTGGCGCTCTGTGCCGCCCGCTGCTGTGCGCAGCGTTTGTTTTGGGCCGGCGGCGCGCCCGTCGCGCCCTGCCGACGCGGCCCGCCGACCCCCTCATAGTACCTTACACTTGCCCTGCCCGAAGCGGCATCCCAACCCCTCCGCAGCAGCGGTGGCGGCGGCGACGAATCATGTGCACTACTCTGCACTGCGCAATGCGGACCTGCGCAACTGGGCCACCGATTCGCCCAGAGCGCTCCCGATATAACTCTCCCCCCCTTGCCAGCCGCGCCCTCCCCCCTTGGCCTGGGGGGTGCCTGGCCGCTGGCTCAATCCGAATTTTCGCGAATGGCACTGTTTTGTTGGCGGGTGGCGCGAGGGCGCTCTTTGCCGGCGCACCGCGCCGCCACCGCCTGGACTGTAGGAGGCAAGAGCGGACGGATCTGATCGCGCGGGGATGTGTGTGGACGCCACTGTGCGGCTCTAGTCGCCGCCCGGCCCGTGCACGTCGTGCATGCAATTTCCTCTGTGCTCTATTGAACTATGGGTTGTGGGCCGAGCGGCCAGCACCAAGGCGCCCACCTCTGGGGGTGCGGCGCGGCCTTGTGCGTGACGGTCAGGCTGGCGGCATGCACTTCAGAGTGGGTCCCCGGGTGTGGAGTGTGGGCGTCGCGGCGGGGCTGGCCTCCTCAGGGGGCAACACTTTGGTGGCTTCTGGCGGCCCATCTGTTGAGTCAACATAGCAGGATCTCAGTCCATAGGAAAGGGGTTTGAGCGCCCGTCCATTGGTGGTGTGGAGTAACATAATCTCAACACAAGTACTGCCTTACTGCTCGGGCGTGTGCAGCTGGTCGGCGTGCGTGTTGCGCAGTTGGTTGGGGGCGCTTGGTAGGGTGTCTTGACGCACTGCATAGGGTGAAGGGTGCTGTTTGCTGTACCCCGGGGTCAACAGGCCGCCGCCCAGCAGCAACACAAGTTGATATGTTCCCAGGGGGCAGGCCGGCTGGCACGTGGAGGCTGCCTCGGCTGTCCCTAGCCAAGCAGATGATGCGGCGGCCGCCCCTCGCGAGCCGTGCTGTTGTCGGTACCCATCGCGTGGGCTTCAGGCTCTGCATCGCGCCCCTGTGCTTGCCGCACTCTCACGAGCCGCAAACTCAACATGAGGTCAGCGCAGCCCCGCGGGCGCCCAGAATCACGCCTTCAAGAGATCCTTCCACCCCATGCGTGCGGGCCCAGCGCGTTGGCGCAGAAGTCTTGCTTTCTTCTGACCCTTACTCAGGTTGCTGCGGGAAGCGCGCAGCCCGATAGCGTTGCGTCGGCAGGCCCTTCGAATCAGCGCCGAGGCTGCATGCCCAAGCAGCAGTCCGGCCGCTCCCGCGCCGGATCTGCGAACCGTGAAGTGCGCGCGGGTGATGTCACCGCGTCGTCATCACGCGCCGGCCTCGAGCTGCTTGAGCAGCCTGAAGAGCCCCGCGGCCTCCCTGATGCGCGAGTAGTTGATGCAGAAGGCCTGCACCTCGTGAGCCAGGTCGCGGATATTGATGATTTTGTTGCGGATGAGGCTCTGCAGGAACACACACACCAGGCGCACGAGCCGGTTCTGCATGTACTTGTCCTGGGGGGGAGGGAGGGGTGCGGCGGGGCCGGGGAGACGGGGCAACATGTCAGATTGGCGGCGCGGGCATGGTGAGGGACCAGACCTTATGGACGAAGGTGTCAATTGTTGAGGCGTGGGGGGAGCCCAGGTCCAGGCATGACAGATGGCCGTGCCGGGCTGACAGGGACGGGGGGCAGGCAGAGTAGCAGGGCAAGCGCCTCTACTTTGCCACAGCAGGATGACCGCTGCTCCGGCCTAAAGAGTTGCCGCTGCTGCGCAGCAGCGAGGCTGCTGCCGTGCAGCCCCCCCCCCCTGCTGCTGCAGGGCCCGGAACCCCAACGGCTGAACAGACGGATTGCCAGGGTTCGCCGTGGCCGTGCCGCCGTACGTGGCGGGGGTGCGCGCACCTGTATGCCCTCGCAGCTGTTGATGCAGTTTGTGATGTAGCGGTGCACAAAGTCTGTGGGCAGGTCCACGGCGCTGGTGAGGCGGTTGACGACCTCCATGGAGTGCAGGCTCATCTGCATGCTGGCCAGAACCTGGGGGCACCACCAGGGTTTGCGGAGGAGAGGCACGCACATGCATGCATGTGTGTGAGTGTGTGTGTGTGTGTGAGTGTGTGTGTGTGTG